TCCTGGGGCCTCTGGACCCTCAACCCCTGTCAAAACAGAGGGTGTTCCTCAGCAGGGGGTGTTGGTCTGCCCTAGCAGGGACCCATGTGGAGGCTTCCTGCAGCCAAGGCCTCACATGGAGCCTCCTGGACTGGGACCTCGATGAGGGACTGGGGTCCCTGCAGGGGTGGGGAGAGGGCTCTGGGCACGCCCTAGGGGTGAGGCGAGGCCAGCCGGGGCCGGGGTGTGGTGTCGCTGCCCCTGGCTAAGCACAGGCAAATACGCCCTGGGGTGGCCAGGAGAGGCGAGGAGAGAGGAGGCGTCCCCGCTTGCGGGGCTCAGAGGGTGCCTGGTCTCCCGCCTAGGGCTGAGGGGCAGGAACAGGAGGCACAGGGCGTGGGGCAGTGGGCTACGGGCCACACAACTTACAGAACGGCTTTCTCTGCTTTTTCTGTAAACAAGACTTGACATATCTCTCCAGTTCCCGTAAAGTGGTGGGTTTCAGAGTCTCAAAGTCAATCTCTATCTCGTCAGGGTTGGAGTCCCTGAGCGAGGGCTCCCGAGACTGGATGATGTGCACCACGCGGCCCAGCTTCTCCCCGGGCAGCCGGTTAATGTCCAGGCTGAGCTGGCGCTTCTCGTCGTAGCTCATGGGCAGGCCCTCCTCCTCCTCCTCCGAGTCATAGGAGGCGGACACCTGCTTGCCGCCCTTCTTCGGCTGCCTGAGGCAGAAGATAAACAGCAGTTGGTGTTGAGCCCCTGCCCCACCTGGCTCCCATCCTCCCAACAGCAGACTGCTCTTAGGGTCCAGGCTCTCCTACCAAGGGTCCCACCCAAAGCAGACCCCTCAGACAGAAAAGCTGGGCAGAGTGTCTGAGAATTTCAAACGTGTCTGCCAGAGACACGGCAGACCCTGCTTCGGAGGTCAGAAGAGGCTGCTCCCAGGTGGGGACCTGGGAGGTCTTTCCAGGCCGCGGCCAGGAAACAATTGTAGAGGTCAGCTCCCCTCAACATCCCACAGGCCTCTCAAACTCAGGTCAAAAACTCATCTCCGTACTTAAGTAATCCAAAAGAAGGCAAGAAAGGGGAACAGAGGAACAAAAAACAGAGGGGACAAACAAAGCAATGAATTAATAGAGCTAAATCAAAATCATATCGATAATTTAAATACAAAGTCCGAACACTCCAGCTAAAAGAAAGAGATGGTCAAATTTAATAAAAAGACCCAACTTACATGCCGTTTACAGGAAGCCCTCCTTAAATACAGTGATATAGATTAAGTTAAAAGTAAAAAGAGGAAAATACGCTATGCAAACACTAATCAAAATAAAGCTGAAATAGCTATATTAATTTTGAATAAAGTAGATTTCAAAACAAAAAATATTACCTGGAAAAGAGAGAGGTGTTACATAATAATAAATGGTCAATTCACCAAGAAGATAATCACAATCCTAAAAGTGTATCCATCTAAAAACAAAGCTTCAAAATACATGAAGCAAAAATTGATAGAACTGAAGGGAAAACAGAAAAATCCACAATTACAGTTGGAGATTTCAGCAATTTTCTCTCCATAATTTAACAAAACAAGTAAATCAGCAAGGATACGAAAGACCTTAACACTATCAACCAAACTGACCTAATAAACGTCTTTTGTCTGTTTGGAGTTTTTAAGACTTTTTTTCCCTAATTGATGTTTATGTGACACTCCATTGAACAGCAGCAGAATACACACGTTCTTTTCAAGTGTACGTGGAACGTTCACCAAGATCATATTCTGGGTCATAAAACAAACCTGAAATTTAAAACAATTAAAATCATGCAAAGAATGTTCTCTGATGCTAATGGAATTTAACTAGAAATCAATAACAAAGATATCTGGAAAACCCCCCAAATATCTGGACACTAAACAACATACTTTTAACAATCCAGAGGTCAAAGAGGAAATCACCAGGCAAATTAGAAAGTATTTTGAATGAAATGAAAACAACAACACAACATATCAAAATTTGTGGGGTGCAGCTAAAGCAGTGCTTAGAGGGAAATTCATAGCATTAAGATGCTTATATTAGAACACAAAGTCTCAGACCAATTACCTGAGAAGCTAAAAAAAGGGAGCATGTTAAGTCCAAAGTACGCAGAAACAGTAAAGAGCAGAAATAAATAAAATTGAAAATAAATAAATAAAACCAAATGCTAGTTTTCTGAAAAGATCGATAAAACTGACAAAATCTCCAGCCAGATTCACCAAGAAAAAAGACACAAATGACCAATATAAGGAAAGAAAGAAAAGACACATCACTGTAAACCCCACAGACATTAAAAAGATAATAAGGGAATAGTATAAACAAATCTACACCTATAAATTTTAGGTGAAATGGAGCAATGCCTTGAAAGACACAAACCACCAAAGCTCACTCAAGAAGAAACTGATAACCTGAATAGCCCTGTTATCTATTAAAGTAATTGAATTCATAGTTAAAAACATCCCAGCAAAGAAAATTCCAGGCCCAGATGGTTTCACTGGTTAATTCTACCAAACATTTAGGATACAATACCAGTTCTAGAAGTCTCACCCACAAAATAGCAGAGGAGGAAGAAACACTTCCTAACTTATTTTTGAGGCCAGCATTACATTGAAACCAAAAACAGGCAAAGATAATACAAGAAACAGTGATTTCTGCATCCTATTCAAAAAGGAGGGATGGACGGAAGAAGGAAGGAAGGAAAAGAAAAACACTGACTATTCCCACTGCTGTCCACCCAGCTGCCAAAGACCAACCCCGGGGCTCTACATGCTCCCTCTCCCCATACTTCCAAGCACCAAGGCCTGTTCATTCTGCCTCCCAAACAGTTCTCAAAACAATCTACTTCTATCTCCATTGCCCCACCAATTTCTTCTGTCAGGATAAGCACCATAACCCACTAAGGGTGTCCTTCCTTCCATTCCTGCCTCCCACCAAACCATGTTCCACAACAGTCAGGATTGGGCCACCAGTCTGCTTCATCCCTTCATGGTCCCCTTCATGTGCCCTTGGAATAAAATCTGAACACCTTCCCAAGGCCTGGACAACCTCGGCAGCCTCAACTTGCCCCACTTGTTCTCTAGTTCTCGGGGGGGGGGGGTGGTCAATGACCCTGCTTTAATTCCTAAAGGCAACACATTCTACTGGCCTCTATGACTTCGTATAGGCTGCTTCCTGTTCTGGGAACACCCTTGCCTCCTCTGGCAGGTCTCCGCTGAAGCATGTCCTCTGGGAAGCCTTCAATGCACCCTGCCTGGGAGTGGTGCCCCAGCTTTGAGCTCTGCAGCACCTCACTCCTTCCCCACCACACTGACCGCGCTTTACAGTCACTGCATGCTGACAGCAGGCGTTTCTCAGGCCAGGCTGACCTACAGCCAGTGTACATGGAACACTCACCACGTATGGACCGGGAGCTGAATCTGTGCCCAGTCACAATCTTCCATCTCCGACCCTCTGCCTACCAGTCGAGCCAGGAATGGAGTGCCAAGGACCCAACCAACGAGCCCCCAACGCCCGACATATAAAAATCCCCGGCAAGTATCAGGAAAATGCCCCCAGAAACTTACAGAGGCAGTGTGACTGCTTCAGTGCCCCCGCTAGGCCAACCCCCACCAACAGCTGAAAGGCACCCTCCAGAGCCCCCAGCTTCCCAGGAGAGATCTCATTTGGTCCTCATGGCATCCCTGCAGGGTGGGCGGGATAGGGACCATCTACCCTCAACCTGCTCTCCATGAAAACCAGCCCAGGCTCCACATCACCCACGGGAGGGCAGAGCCAGGACCCACAGCCAAGACTCCAGCACTCCTTCCATTACAAGAGTACGCCTACTGTGCTCCGCGCCCAGCGGCCCGGCTGGCGGAGGGCCTTGTGGGCACGGGAGCCCACCTGTTGGCCGTAGTTGTGCTGTTGGCCTTCTTGACAGGAGCCTTCTTCTGCTGGGCCTGCTTGGCCGGAGGCGCCGTCTTGGCCTTCTTGTCTTCTTCGGACTTGGCCTTGTGCTTCTCCTTCTCCTTCTCTTTGTCCTTGTCCTTCTTCTTCTTCTCCTTGTCCTTCTTCTCTTTCTTCTTCTTTGGTTTGTTCACTGGGGCCTGAGACAGGGCGGCCAGCTGCTCATGCACAGCCTTCAGCTGGAAGAGAACAGCACACCCACCCAGGCAGCTAAGCGGGCATCCGTGGGCATGGCTCCGCACCCTCTGGGCTAGCTCGGGGCTAGAGATGCAGGGGTGGGGGTCTCATGGGCACCACGTGGGGAGAGGAGCCCAGAGCGTTTGGGCCGTACCCTGACCTAGGCCGCTGGGGTGTCCTGAACCTACACAGCCAGATAGGTCCAGGGCCGACCGCTCCCATCCCAGCTCTGCTGCTCATCACCTGGGTGACCGCTGCCCAGTCCCCTAGCTTCTAGGGCCTCAGTTTCCTCATATAAAATGGTGGGAGGGCCCCACCCCACAAGATCAGGCTGGTGAGTGATTAGCTCACAGCAGGTGACACAGTCAGCCCTCAACAAACAGGAGCGATGGTTTCACGTTCAATTACTGTATCCAGAGACCGAGACTCCAGGGGGTTAAATGCCCACGCAAACGAGGTTGCCAGCAGCCACCGGGGAAGCTGTTTGGGCATCCCATGGCAGGTCTACAGAACCGAGGTTACCCGGTACCAGCAGCTGGCGCTCTTGCAGTGGCTTGCGTGCCCAACGAGAGCCAGGGGGTCTGCATCCCCTCATTCTAGGCCGCCGCCCAGCCTCCTCTGTAGGAGTCACACGGTACAGAAGGAAACAGTCCCTCCTAGCATCTAAGTGGCCAGGGCACAGTCACACAGCTGGTACCCCACGGACCCCCAGAGTCCATGCTGGCATGGGGAGACCCGCCCACCCACGGCCACCCCTCACGGCTATCCTTCCCTGCAGTCTCCTCATCATCTCGAGAGGCTCGGCTCAGCACCAATGCCCAGGGCCTCCCCCGGAACCTTCTCTCTGACAGTTGCATTCCTTCCTCCTGACCTAACTGCCTCTGCTCTCCCACTGCCCGAGGTCCCAGAAATCGAGCCCCGCCAGCTGCCAGGTGCTCAGAAAAAGCAATTTACATTTTCCTCACTTCCTCCTCAACACAACTCAGGAGGGATCAACAGCCATGCCATCTGCCAACCAGGAAAGTGAGGCAGGAACGGGAGGGTCCACACCAGCCTGAGGCAGAGACAGGCGGGTTATCCCCGTCCCACCACAGGACACTGCCCCCACTGCACCAGGGGCTCCAGAAGCCTTCCAGGCCTCTCCACTCGGCATGGCATGGTCACTGCCGAGCCCTCACCGCACGGCCCATAGGGCCTCTGGAGCGTCCAGGACGCTGTGGGCCACATGCATGAGCCCACTCATCAGGCTCCACTGCCCCACGCAGCTGAGGGCCGGCGCTTGGAGCTCAGACTCTCCCCGGGACCCCCCTCCAAGAGCGCTTCTGTGAGGGAATGCTGCGGCTGCTGGCCGGCCCACGGCTCGTGGAAAAGAAGGAAAACGAAAAGGGGGGGACAAATCTCGGGAGGGGGGACCTGGTCTGCGGCACCTGCTCCTGCAGCTCCGCCAGCCTCGTGGCCCGCTCCTCCTCCGAGTCCGAGCTGCCAGAGTCTGATGAGCTTTCCTCACTGCTGCGGCAGCTCTCGGCACCCTTGCTCACCACCGGGGCTGCAGGCGCGGGGGGCGCAGGCACCTCCACTGGCTCATCCGGCATCTTGGCAAACCTCATCTCGAACACATCCTGTGGAGGAACAGGGTCTGCCCTGAGGTCCAGCTCACCCGCGCGGCCCTCCCCCTGGGCCCACCAGGCTCCTCAGGGGCCACGATGCCCCCCACACCCTCGGACCTGTACCCACGGCTTCTCCGAGGTCAGGCTCTGCAAGAGACCGAACCCGGGGTGCCCCACTGGCTCCCACTCCCTCCTTCCCAAGCATCCCCAGAGCCCGCCACACGCAGGGCAGGGGATACAGGAGCCCCCGAGCCTCAGCCCCAGCCTTCTAGGAACCCGCAGACACGTCCCTGACCGCACACACGCTCTCCTCTACAGTGTGCACTGCTCAGCCTTCAGGCCCACGCTCCACAACGCCCCCCACTGCTCCGAGCCTGTATGGGCTCCAGCCAGGGAACCTGGGCACCAGACGACGCGGCCCGTCTCCTCACCCTGGGACAGTACTCTAGCACCCATCTTACTCTGGATCGTGTGCGAGGTGCGCTAAAAGTCCAGCCCTGCCACAGCTGGCTTTGCAAAGCCCACAGCCAGCTCCTACGTGGCCAGGACCTAAGCCCCTGACTCGCCTTTCAGCGGAGGTCCCTGCCCCGGACAGCAACAGCCAGGCTCGTCACAGGCAGGACGAGCAGCCTGAGGGAGTAATACACACGGTGGGACCCCACTGGCTGGGCTCTAGGCTCCCACCCACGGGGATGAAGACACCCCAGAGAGCTGACCCCGCAGAGTCACAATCTGAGCGGTCACTCGCTGCTTGGCCTGTCTCCGTGCAGACGGCCTCAAGGGGCAGAAGCCTCACGGGGGGGTCCTGTCAGACTATGGCAGTGCCGGGCTCCAACCCCACAGCGTGCTGTATCAGACCAAGAGCGCTAATGATCAGACAGTTGTCAGTGATTCACATCCACCCGCCTCTCTGGCGTGTTCCTAAGAACCTCCTCTCTTGCTAAGGAGCAGAGAAGAGCCATTGGCTGGCGCTGGCCTCTGTCCGTTTGTTGCCAAGGTTGCTGGCTTCCTCGCTGGGTTTGGGATGCCCCAGGGCAGAGGGCTCAGGACCAAAGCACACAGCGAGCACGGTCTCAGTATGAAACCGGGGTCCAGTGGCCTCCCCAGGTGGCTCTGGGATCTCCAGAACCGCCCTCCTGAACCGGACCCGGTACTGGCACCACCAAGGGGCAGCATGCAGGAGCCGGGCCTGGGACGGGCCTTCGCAGGGCCTGCCCATGGAAGTGGTCAGAAGGCTAGCAGGACCCAGCAGTGTGAACACAGCTTCCCGCTCTTTTCTGTCCCGTTTTGGTCCCGTTTAACATGGGTGACACCATGAACTACTTCACAGGCCTTTCAAAATGGTTCTAGGCAAAGGATTTAGAAGCACATTTTACAGAACAAATGCGCTGAGTCCTGTGGAAAGACAGCAATCAGAGTTCTGGAAAAGGATACATAGCCATAGTTTTCACTGTTTCCTCTGAAAGGAGAGTCTCCGGGGAATGTAATATTCAGAGTAGTGGCCTTGGTATTTGTGAAAACCACCTATATGGTCAAAGATAAAAGATGAGAAAGAACGGAGCCTGGAGGACCAACCTGCACAGAAACCCGTGTGCAGCACCAGGACTCGGGCAGAGAAACACACGCACACGTGAGTGTCCCCGTGTTGTCTGTGCGCTTCCCTAGAGCACCACGTTTCCCCAGTACACAGCTTACTGTCACCTCATAAAGCACCAACAGGCTGAGACAAAGGCCCCTGGGGCCCAGCGAGACCACTGGAACCTCTCGTCAGAAAGGTGGCAGGAGGCTGGACACGTGCCCTTTTGTCTTCATCACTCCCCCCAGGACAGACACAGGTTGCTTGAGGCTGAGGACCACCAGGAGCACGGCAGGCCAGTGTGGACTCCTCTCTGTGACGGAGCTGCCTGCCCTCTAGCTGGCCCTCTCCTGCCTCAGTCCACAGTTCTAGGAGAGCAGAGGTGGCCCGGTCACCACTGTGTCCCTGGGACCAGGCACGGAGCCTGGCGGGCAGCCGGCCCCACTCAGGAAGGCCCTGTGGCGTGAACGCGGCCCCCGCAGCCTTCCCCAGCCAATGCTCTCCGAGACGCTCAAGTCTCCCAGGCACCCATGCCATGTCAACACAAGCTGCTAGTCCCCCTGCACCCAGGAGGCCCCTCTCGCCCCCTAGAGGCCCCTCTGCTGATGGTTACCTGCAGCTTCCGGGCCATGGCCACCACCTCGTGGTCTGGAGGGTTGTATTTGTAACAATTGGAGAACATTAACCGGATGTCGGCCGCAAAGCCCTGTGCGTCTGGGTACTCTCGGCTGTCCATCTTCCTCTGTAAATACATAAGCAACAGCGGTCGGGGGCGTGGCCCAGGCATCTGCAGCGCCTGGCTAGACCCCTCGAGGCGGGCGCAGAATCCTGGAGGCCACCGCCACCATCACCACACCACAGGACGGCTGCACCTGCTGGCTAGGGACCTTACGCCGGGGTCCCTGCACAGAGACAAGCGCCCTGGCTGGAAGGACATGGAAAAGCGGCACTCGGCACAGAGAGACGCCCGGGGCTCCCAGCAGCCTCCACGCATCCCTTTCCGTGCTCAAAGGTTCCGGCTCCACACGCCGACCTCTGATGTCAGGGGCCTGGGGGCGGGAGATTCTGATGGAGACCTGCCTCATTACCGACTTCTGGGTGGCGCGAACGGGTGAGTGCTCAACTACCAGCCGAACCTTCTCGGAGGCATCTTGGAAGACAGGCTTGGTGGTCTGCTCCCGAAAGGTCACAACCTTGAAAACCCTGTGGCGCAGAGCCCGCCTTCAAACTCCGGAAGTCCCCCAGGTTGGGGAGAGGCTTATGCTCGCTTCTAGCACAGATGTCCCCCAAAAGCTCAACCTTGAAAATCTGCAACATGCCAAGTGGAGTTTCTCTCTTTATTCTACGGTAACTTTAAAAGCCACAGACTCCGGCTCTCTTTCCTAAGGCTTGTCTGTAAGAGGAAAAACAGCAGTGAGGTCCGCGCCTTTGGAACAGCACTTGCAACATGCCGCCGAGCCATTTTCCCAAGCCATGACGGAGACCTGAAGCGCTGAGCAAAACAAAACCAGTCACGACTTCACAGCCAACAGGGTCTCTCAAGGCTCCTGCTCTGGTTCCCAAGGCACAGCAAACCCTCTGACCAAAATGGAATTAAACTGAACCTTATCCCGGCCCTATGCAGGAAGCTCAGCAATGGTTCAGAAATCCTTGTCAACGCACCAGCAGTGGAGAAGCAAAGACCCGGGCTGTGGAGGCCAGAAACGAAGGCTTCCCACGGCTCCTGGGCGGCGTGGCTCTGGCACTCAGCACAGCCTCCTGACCCCCAAGCGGCCCTACTGTGCCCCTCCCTAGATGGGTGGCCCTGGGTGAGGCACTTCCTCCCTGAATCTCACGTCCCCCAGCTGAACAGGAGCAGTGACAGGCACCCTGGAGCTCCGAGTGGAGGTAAGCCCTCAACGAGCCTTCACAGTCAGTGAAGTCTCTGAGCTGGGGACAGGACATGAGCTCAGCGGCTCCCGTCCAAGGCCTGAGCACCCAAAGGCCCCGGTTTCAGGACCAGCTCTCTGACAACTCACTCTGGGTTGGCCCACCGCCTCTCACAGCCTCAGCTTCCCCCCAGCAGTTGATAACAGATAACAGGAGAGCGTTGCCAATTCTAAAAGGCCCCGGACACTGCCCCACCTGCCACTCACCCCGGTCCCTGCCAGGAACAGGGGCTGGGGCACGCTCTTTCCTCAGAGAGGAGCAGAGAGGCATGAGAACCACCACAGGGGCCCACACCAAGAGGAGGGAGCACAGACCTTGCTGGGGTGAGGGAACGGCCAGCTGACAGCCGCCGCCCCAAAGCCGAGTGGAGAAACCCCCTGCACAATGCGGCAGTGTGCGCTGGGCCACGGTATTGGGGACCCACGCTCCCCGGAGCCCTCGCGGGGTCACAGGCCTCACGGTCAAAGCTGCGCCCAGCTGCCAGCCTGAGACAGAAGCTGAGCCACAGGACTTACACCCACCTCACAAGAGACACTACTTCTGCGACGCGGGGAACGAGGGAGATGAGGCCCTCTCCCGGCCGACCTCTGCCCTGCTTCCATCTTCCCACACCTACCGCCGTGTTTCACTCGCACAAGTCAGACACGTCCAAAGGGAAGCTGCAGCATTTGCGGAGCTGTCGGCGGGCGACTAACGAGAAGGGATCACTGCTGAGAAGTGTGCCCTCTGCCTTTACCGAATGAGGAGGCCCAGAGGGGGCAAAGAGCCTGCTCCCAGCCGCAAAGCTGGGACCCGCCCAGGCCCTGGGCATTCCACCTTCACGCCCAGCTCAAGCCCGCTCTCTGTGGGGACCAGGTGAGCTCAAACCTGGCACCCGTGCACATGCAGCCCTGGGGAGACCACTGCTGCGGGAACAGCCTGGCACAAGGACTGGGAGGCCTGGGTGGTCTCGGCTCTGCCTCTTCCCCACCCCTTTAGATCTACACCTGTCTGGGGAGGAGGTGCGGCCGCAAGAGCCCAAATCTCTTTGAGGCGGCAACCCAGGGGGAGGTCTGAGGCTCGGGCGATGCCAGCCACCCGCCCACATCCTGGGATCTGGAGAGAGCAATCTGCGGCTCTGGTCGGCCGCAGGACGGAGCGCTAGGAAGGGCCTCCTGGCCCGAGGTAGAGACTTGCGATCCCACGGGGATGGGCGGATGGGAAGGAAAGAACAACATAAAGAAACAGGGTTGAACCGGAACAGGTGAGGGCAAAGCCACAGCGCCAGTGCCCGGTGGGCAGGACCACCTCCTCACAGACCGCAGCAGGGGCCACGGGGCCAGTGAGGGAGGCAGAAGACAGCAGGCATCAGAGGCTCAGAGGGTGCCTGCCCCGGGGACGGGGGGACACGCAGGAACACCCAGCCCTGCTCCCCAGGCCCTGGCGCCAGACAGCGGCACCCGCAGCAGACCCTCGGGAGGCTGGGGGAGCGGGTGGTGGGCTGGGCGCCGGGGGCCACCTGACAGTGGTCTGGATGCGGGCTCCAAGAAGGCTGCCCAAGCCCACCGCCCCGCTGCCGCACGCACCTTGACGGTGCTGAGGTCCATCGGGTGCTTGATGATGTCATGGTAGTCGTGCAGCTCCAGGGCCTCAGCGTCCACGGGCTTGTAGAAGGGCCAGGCGTAGGCCGCGTGCTTCTTGGACAGCATCTCCTTGAGGATGCTGTCACAGTAGCGCAGGTGCTCCGACAGCTTGCCCTTCTTGCCCGCGTGCTGTGGGACCTCGCCGTCCTCCAGGTCCTTCTTGGGCGGCTTGATGGGGCGGCCCCCGCTCTCCCGCCGCGCCACCACCTTGGCCTGCTTGGGGTCCGACAGTGGCGGGGGCGACTCACCCCGGCCCGCGGTGATGGCAGACGTGGTGGGCGTGGTCGTGTCTGCTTTCCGCTTCACGCCCTTTTTCTGTGACAGCGAAACAGTCAGTGAGGACGGGGCATCGGCAGCAGGAGGACCCGGGTCCCCAGGCCCCGCGTGGAGCGCTACCTCCTGTCAGCACCGAGCTAAGCGCTGGATGTGCACAGCCACGCTCCCTCCGCCCGATGAGAATGCCAAGGCTCAGGGTCAGGTCCCCAGCCCAAGGTCACACAGCTGGTCGTGGGGAGCTGGGGTGGACACCCAGGCTTGACTTGGGAACCTGCACTTGGACCTTGCGCCCCAGACCCCCAGAGCTCAGCAATCACAGGTGCGGGAGTTCCCTCATCACCTACTGGGCCGCAGGGGTGCAGCATGCAATTCACCGACACCCCGTTAGTGTGACCGAGATGGCATGGTGGCCAGATTGTCGCCAAGCAAGACTCGGCTCAGGGACAGCAAGATGAGAATGGCTGCCTGCTCTAGGGACCAGCAGACAGTCCCATGAGAAGGTACCCCTGCTGGGGCTACAAGGACAAACGGGACAGGGGGAGCAAGCCCGACAAGGAGACACGCAGCAGTGGGGGCAGGGCTGAGGCTGGGGGTCCAAGAGCCTACAGGAGGGAGCGGGTCTGGACCGTCCTGAGGGCAGTGGGAACCACAGCAGAGCTAGCTCTTTAAGCAGGGGGCCACGGAAAGACCAATCGTTGTCTGTAAGAGGCCGGAAAAGACGCTGCCCACGTGCTTGAGGGCAAGCCTGAACGTGAGGGTCCCCGGCAGGGATGCGGGGGACCGCACCGTCAGCTCCCGCACTCCCAGCACCCTGGCACCCGGCAGCCCCGGGCTCGGTGTGTCCCGAGACCAGGCGAGTGGGTTTCTCCTCGTCTTAACTCAGACGGGCAGACGAGCAGACCAGGCCCCAGCGCACGGCCGTGCAGCCACCTGCTGTCTCGAGCCACCCACGGCCATGCCACCTCAGGCTGGCAGGGCCATGAGCCGGCTCTCCACAAATGTCCACCCTCCAGTGCCCAGTGCCAAGCGTGCCTGCAGTGGCCCAGGGGTGCAGGCCAGCCGGCGGGCTCCTCCTGCCGTGGCAAATGGGACATGCTCCAAAACAGCCTGCGCCATGAGGCAGCCGGGGCCGGCGCTGCCGGGGGTGCAGGCAGCAGAGGCCCTGGAGGCGGGAAGCACCGAGGTGACCGCTTTACCTGGGGACAGCCACTTAACCCTCTGAGCGCCTGCAGCCTCATCTGTAAGATGGGGGATACTGTCTGCCTCAGGGGGGTGCTGTGGGGATCAAATTAAACAGGATAGCATACGTAACTACAGGCACCACGCCGGCCCAGGTGGGAGACAGAACAGTCCTCGCCAGCCCCAAACCACGCAGGGCCACCCACCTGGGTGGTGCCAGGCCCGGCCCTGCCATGAGAGGCCTCAGCTGAGTGGGGGGAGGGGGACAGATGTGCAGGCCCCTCAGTCTAGCGCAGGCGGAGGGTGTGGGTGGAGGCAGTTCTGGCCCTGGGGGACACTGGGGGGCCAACACACCCAAGTGCTGTGTACTCCCACCTCCCTTCTCTCCCACGCCTCTCCCGTGTCCTGGGAAGACCGGGGCTCCACGGCCAGAGAAGCCTGGGCTCCAGTTCAGCCCCGCCCCCACCAGCTGTGTGACCTTCAGCGCCCTCAGCCTTGGCCTCCTTGTCTGCCGCGAAACCGCAGCCCAGCCTCACCACTGCAGAGTGACGTACGCCAAGAGTCTGGCGAGCAGTGACATTCACAAAGAGGCAGCAGAGTCCCCCACCTGCCCTGTGCTCAGACCACCCCTGAAGCCAGCCCCACCGCACGGGCCCCGGGGCGCTCACCTTGACGACGGGTGGTGTGGGGGGCACCACGGGGATGATGGGTGTCGTGGGAGGTGGTGGGGCGGCGGCGGGGGGCACAGGGACTGATGTGACGTTTGCGGTGATGGTTGGCACAGGGGTGACAGCAATGACGGGCGTCTGGGAGACAGCAGGAGGGGCATTCTGGAAGGGGGTCGCCGGGGACACAGAGGACACGGCCGCCACTTGCTGCGTCCCTTGAAAACCAGGAAGAGAGATTAAACACACAGGCTCGCCCAGCCAGGCAGAAAGAACACAGGTTTTGCCAGAGGCTTCTGGAACCGCCCTCCAGCCGGAGCACACCAGGTGCCAGCCATGACGGGTGCAGACACCCACCAGCGTCCCAGGGTGCAGGAGCTGCTCAGACCCACCAGCGCCGCCTGCGGGGCACGGATGAAAGGCTGAAGAAGTAAACCAGGACAGAGAGCACAGCGGACATCCGAGAAGCCTGCGTCTAACAGACTCCATTAGTAACTGATGGGGGGACCAAGGACAGAGCCACGTGGCCTCCTAGGTGCACCGTCTGCCAGCTGGGATGGCAGGCCACCTGGCCAGCTTTCCCCATCTTAACACAGGCCAGGGGAGACCACTAGGGCCCAGTGACCGCCACCACCGAGCTCCCCCCAGGAGGCACGCCCCGTGCCATCAGGGAGCAGGTGACATCAACATCACAGTGACATGGGTGCTGAGCGGGCAGAGAGAGACGCCCCACACTGACCCCAAAGCTCCATGGACGAGGTGGCCTCAGAGCCGGCTAGACGAGGAGAGGCTTGGGGAGGCAGGGAGTGGGGAGGAGGAAGACCACAACCTTCTCCCCCAGCAGGTCTAACGACATGGAACGTGGACGCCCCCCATGCCAGCCGTCACTCAAACACGGTGCTAAAGCACAGCACTGCTCTCTCGTGGCAACACCGTCCCGGCTACGCAGGCGGCTGCCCAGGGGCTGGGGCCTGGGCCTGAGGGCCCCTCAGCCAGTCAGCAAAGGGGTTCGGCCTGGAACCCAGATGAGCCTGACCCCAAAGCCCCCCATGCTTACAGTGAGCCCACCGCTCACCCTCCACAGAGACGCCACTGCTGCCGACCTCCTAGCCCACCTACCCACCGGTGGGTGGGTGGGACAGAATGGCCACCCCTCCCCCCATCCCCACCTGTACTCTGGGCCCCACAGCCGGCTTCCCCACCCCCGCCTCCCCTCATCTGCACCTAGGCCCCCCCTTACCTGTACTCTGGGCCCCACAGTTGGCTTCCCCACCCCCACCTCCCCTCATCTGCACCTGGGCCCCACCTTACCTGTACTCTAGGCCCCACAGCTGACTTCCCCACCCCCGCCTCCCCTCATCTGCACCTGGGCCCCCCCTAACCTGTACTCTAGGCCCCTGCAGCTGGCTTCCCCACCCCCGCCTCCCCTCATCTGCACCTGGGCACCCCCTTACCTGTACTCTAGGCCCCACAGCTGGCTTCCCCACCCCCGCCTCCCCTCATCTGCACCTGGGCCCCCCCTTACCTGTACTCTGGGTCCCTGCAGCCGGCTTCCGGCCTTTGCCCTTCGGAGCAGGGGGCAATAACTCAACTTCCTCCTGGGGCATCTGGGCCACTTTCTGCAGAAAAATCTTCTCTAAGGCTTGGGCCATGAGCACTATGTCATCTGTGGGCTGGAGACAGAGAGAAGCTGCGTCACACGCCGGGGAGGGGGCCCATGCGTCTGCAAAAGGTGGCATCAGGTCAACGGTTAGAAGTTTCGAGGGCGGGAAGGGAGCACAGGAATACACCTTCAGTGTGAAAAATCTTGGAGGAATCCAGAAAAGCAAGAAGAAAAACCACCACCGTTCATCCCCTTTAATAACTCAGCACTCCTGCCCGTCTTTACGTTACCTGTCACTATTCCACACACCAAAACCCACAACTTGGATCTGAGGGACCGCTTTGCCTCCTAACCCGCTCTTCTTGCTAAGAGCTGTTCTGCAGACATTCCCCATGTCGCGAAATGCCCCCAGCCTCTCTGACGTTGCATCTGGGACTCACGACTCGTTAACCCAACCTCCTATCACCAGGCACTTGGGCTGCCTAGTTTTCCATGTCCGAGATCCTGCGCTGACTTCTTTAAGATTTTCTGAGAGTAGAGCTTCTAGGTTCAAGGGGAGGCATGTTTTAAAGCTTCTGATATGCACCAACTCCCTCTGAAAGAATTGTTCCAATTCCATGCCCACTGGCAGGAAAGGTGGTGGTGGCTGTTGGGTGCCTTCAGACCGACCAAGACTCACAGCAACCCCATGTGACAGAAGAGAACTGCCCCACAGGGTTTGTTAGGCTGTAATCTGTCTTGGAAGAAGTACAGCCAGAATGCTCCTTAGAACCAAGGATGGCGAGACTATGTCTCACGTATTTTAAACATGCTATCAGGAGGGATCAGTCCCTGCAGAAGGACATCATGCTTGGTAAAGTAGAGGATCAGCAAAAAAGAGGAAGACCTTCAACAAGATGGACTGACACAGTGGCTGCAACAATGGGCTCACGCATAACAACGATTGTGAAGATGGCCCAATACCAGGCAGCGTGTCGTTCTGTCGAGCGCAGGGTCGCTATGAGTCGGGACCAACTCAACGGCAAATAACAACAAATCTTTATGGGAGCAGATCGCCAGGTGTTTCTCTCTCAGAGCAGCTAATGGATTCAAATCGCCAAACTTTTGGTCAGCAGCCAAGTGCTCCTAACCCTAACCCTAGGGCTCCTTCTTCGGGCCTTGGCACTTGCTATTCTCTCTGCTTGGAATACTCACCCCTCCAGATGTCTACAGGAGCCGGGTTGGCACAGTGGTTAAAGCGCTTGGCTGCTAACCAAAAGGTCAGCTGTTAGAACCCACCAGTCACTCCGCGGGAGAAAGATGTGGCAGTCTGCTTCCGTAAAGATTACAGCCTTGGAAACCCTACGGGGCAGTTCTACTCTGTCCTGCGGGGTCACTACTAGACGGAACCGACTTGACAACAATGAGTTTAGACGTCTGCATACCCGCTGCCGTCCAGCTGATTCTGGCTCATAGCAACCCCATGCGACAGAGTAGAACTGTCCCATAGGGTTTCCTAGGTTGTAATCTTTATGGAAGCAGATCACCAGGTCTTTCTCCTACGGAGCCACTGAGTAGGTTCAAACCACCGACCTTCAGGTTAGCAGCCAGACGCTTTACTGTTGTACCACCAGAGCTCCTTGGAAACGCAACCACTCTTGAGATGAGCAGTGCTGGGACTCATGGGTAAGGACCACAGCGTGAGGGGTCAATGTCCGGGAGCCGCTGCACAGCCCCCCCCCGCCCAGCTGGCCGCGTGTGCCAGGGCCGACCTAGGGTGGCAGGCCCCCCCATGTTGTCTCTCCTGGGGCGACAGCCCAGAGCCCCAAACCTCAGCACCAAGCATCACGCGTCAAGGGCGCTCTGGGCCTCGCCACGCACACCTTCTTACCTTGTTATAAATGTAACAATTTGTAAACATGGTGTTGAAGTCCTGCATACATTCGCTTGCGCTCCAGTAATAATTGTTCTCTAATCTCTTCTTAATAGTCCCCATATCCATTGGGTTCTTAATTATTTTATGATAATCCTACGAAAAAGATTTTTAGAGGCGTTATTGAGGTACTCCCCGTGATTACTTTCGCATTTCCCAAGCGAGGCAATGGTATGCAGAGCGGGCTTTGCGAGTGGGGCCGGGCCGGGGCTGGTCACCTGAAGCCAGTGCCACACTCCTGACAGGCCCCTCCCCGGACACGGAGTTTGCAGGAGGGGGAGGCTGTCTGGGACACGTAGCCTGGGGCCTGGGTGGACCACCGAGCTGGTCTACACTCTAGGTAGGGCCAAGCCGTCTCCAGGGATTCCAAAATGCGTTTGAGGCCCCGCAGCTCATGGGGGCCGGCTGGGCCCATGACTCCCCTCCCAGTATTTGGGCTCGGACAGAGAAAACGAACACAGAGCCGGGGCGCAGAGCCCCTGAACGGGTGTGACCACTCTCGGTGTCTGACCACGAGGCACAGCCCTCTCATACACAGGTCGCTCAGCAGAGGGATGCTGGGGGCAGAGGCCCAACCCCCTGGACGCGCACAGACCACAGACGAACCTTGGGATGAGGCGGGGCGGCTCCTGAGCCCCCGTCACCATCAGCCCTCCCTGGCGGCCTGCACCTGGGGCAGCCGCCCCATCCTCCTCGCCCTAAGGGGCCCCTTCGCCCTTCTGTCATTGGGGTGATGGGCTCGTGCCTGTCCGACTGTGCCTTTCAGAGGCTGCACCTGGCTCGCCAGCACCAGCCCCTCCTGGGCACTGCCCGGCCAAGGCCAGAGGGCAGCATTTCTGGGTCTGGGCCGCACCAAGAGACGGCGGGCGCGTACTCACGGGCAGATTCAGCTTGATGGCGTCCACGGGCTGGTAGAAGGGCCAGGCGAACTGGTGCTTCCACAGTGTCTTCACCACCACGTTCTGCATGTACTGCAGCTGGTTCGTCTTCCGGCCAGGCTTGCTGGGGTTGGAGACCTCCGGTGGGGGTGGGTTCACGGGACCCGGGGCCGCCGGGATGCCCACAGAGGCGACCGTCGCTGTTGTGGACATCTTGAGCCGCGAGCTCACTTCCCGTCACAGCCGCGGCCTGCAGACGCCCGCGCTCCCTCTAGGCTCCCCGAGGCAGCTCGGCATCCCATCTCCGGGCCCCACCGGGCAACAACTGCAGAGAAAAAGCCAGTCACAGCACCGCTGGACCCCCGCCCGTCCTGCCCTCCCCAGACCCATCCCTCGAGGGCCCAGAGCAGCCCAGCTCACTCACGCCACCCGTCTGCCTGCCCACCTGCCTGTCCAGGTACATCTGTCAGGAAGACGGGTCAAGTCAGCCCTCACCTGCGGCACACAGCTCACACACCGCTGCCTGCTCAAACCGGGGTGCCAGGAGATCCTGGAACACGCGCCCTGGGCCCCTCGGCCCGCCCGGCCAGCAACCACTTGCTGGCTGGCAGCTGACTGTCACAATATCTGCTACTCTGTCCTCGGCCCCGGCTACTTCCCACAGGAACGATTCAGGCACATCGACCTCGCCGAGCCGAGACGCGCAGGCCAAATCGGCAGCAACCCAGCGGTTCCCAGAACCACGCGCACAGGAGCTGGGCAGCTCGAGCGAGCCCGCTGGGGTTCCACGTAACCACGAGAACGCCAGGGGGTTTGTGATGGCGGCGGGTGGGCTGTGACACGTGGCCTCAGCCAATCAGACCCAAGCCGGGCCCGCCAGCAGGGCGAGGAAAAGGTAGTGCTGGCATGCCAGGTGGGGCCTGCATGCCCAGGACGCGTCCCCAGGGAGGAGGGACTCCCGCAGGCCAGGACGAGCAGCACAGCCACCGAGAGACGCACACGGAGCCCCAGTAACGTAACATCGGGGAAGGCCAGGCCGGGCCGCATCGGTCCCACCATCGCTGGGGGACACACGGCAGTGCCGTGCATGAAACACGGTCTACTTGCCCTGTGAAGACTAGGACTTCCAGCTCTTGCCTCTTCGTCCGCGTGCCTTGCTGCTTCTAAGCTTTGCCACATACTTCACACACACGCTCTTTACCTATCAGGCGGGCTGGGAGGCTCCCCAACACCACACGGGGGCCCCGAAAAGGCCTCTGGGAGGGGCTGTGGTGTCGGGAGCCAGCTCGTTCCAGCTACTCACACCGACTCGCAAGAACAGATGGTTAAATCTTCAAGAATTCTGCGAGCTGCTTAACAGATTGCTGGTGGCTTGAAATTTGCTGCAGTGGGCGTGTTGACACCACAGAAACTGACAAATCTACACACCGGGGCTTTCCCAAGGGTGGCTGTGACACCCTCACTGCCCCCACAGGCTGTGCCAGCAGGCTCCCGGCAGGTCCCCTGCCCCGGCCACTGAGAAGGGTTCCAGAGACTACCCTGCACCCATCTCACCTACTACGCAAACCTGTTGTGAGCGCCCTCTGCCCAGGGACGCTCCCGAGGACCTGACTGTGTGCCCCACCTGTGCCCGCATCTGGCCCCCACCTGGCCCCCGGCAGAGCCAGACGGCGGTGCCGGCGCCTCCAGGACCACAAGCGGTTTCACTTTCAGCTTCCATTTCTGAATACTTGGGGTGGTTCAAATAACAGACATGAGCTACTTTTGCAAAAAGAAAAAGTAAAAAGAAATTTCTATTTTGAAGAACTATTAAAACGCAAACAGATAAGCCACAGGCTCCCTGTCTCCGTGGCTGGGCAGAGCCCTGCGTTCCCAGCCAAGCTCCTGGTCAGCGGCTGAGCGTCTCGAAGCTTTGGTGTCTCCTCCTGCTTTACCTAACTTTTCTGGCCTTCCTCCGGGAGCCAGACACGGACCTGGGATCTGGGGCGAGGCATCGAGTCCCCCACCCAGAGCAAGGAGCTGGTGCTGGGAGGCAGGGCGCAAGTCACCCCTGAAACCCCTGCAAGCCCGCCTCTCTGACAAGACAACCCCAGGGCCTGGTCTCTCCCCTGGCAGGGCTGCCGGTCCTGGGGTCCAGCCAGCCATGCTCGCGTTATCCAACCTGCCTGCAAGAGCTGCTGGCAGCACCCCACTTCTGAGGGGCAAAGACAGAAGACGGGGCCAACCCAAGACCACCCACCTGCGGTCCAAGGCCCCCTGCCAGCGCAGCTCGCGGACTTCCTGGGCCTGGGGGGCAGGCCCACCCTCAGAGAGTGAAAAGGTAAATGCCGCTTCCAGAGCGACACGAGCAGCTAAACCGCCAGCAGACCCGCTGACCCACTCCTGGGGCTGCGCTCAGAGCTGAAGGCCACGAGGTTTAAGATGACGCAGAAGTCGGCATGCTGCAGGTCCCCCCACACCAGCTCCCTGGCTGCCCACGGTCTCCCGGTGCGCTTGGGGCCCGCTATCCCAATCACGACGTGAACGAGCAGCACTGTGATGTGTCCAGGGGTGGGGGACAGATGCTGCCGGCCGGCACCCACCTGCATGCCGTGCACAGACAGAACAGGCCCTCACCCCCACCACCCTGCTGCCCAGAACCCACCCCAGCCCCCATGGTGAGGCCAAGTGGGAGCACACAGCAGAAACAGCACCAAGGAATACAGGGACTGTCGCCCACCTTTGTTGATGGTAAGATGCTGCATGATCCTCACAACAAACCTATGAGGTCAGAACGATCATCCATCCCATTCTACAGACGACAAAGCTGAGACTCCTTTGCGCCTAAGTACTTTCAAGGCACACTGCGTCCCTGGGGGTTCCGGGACTCAGACATCCGGCCAGGGTAGTGGCACCAAGGCCGGGGCTCCAGGGAGAAGGCCCATCAGCTAAACATCCAGCTGGGACGGGGCCTCCAGGCCAGGCCAGCAAGGGGCCCCAGGGCCAGCAGCGTCCTCCCAAACTCCAGGTGTGACCCCAGCAGGCCAGGTGCTGAGAGGACAGGTTCCAGGGCTGGGTAGGAAGGCGGTGGGGAGGTGCACTCCAGGGCCCGCCATGCCGGGGTACAAATCCCCCCACCCACCGGTGGCAGCTGACCTCACTGAGACCCATGTTCTCATTGGAGATTAAATTACCTTGATTTAACCAAAAACCAGTGGCCAGCGAGTCAACTCCGACTCGTGGCAACCCCATGTGTATCAATAGAACTGTGCTCCACAAGGTTTTCAATGGCTGATTTTTGCAAGTAGATAGCCAGGGCTCTCTTCCGAGGCACCTCTGGGTAGACTTGAACTGCCAATCTTCCCATCAGCATGAAACTGCACTCCCAGGGGCTCTGAAATCCCCCGGACCACCACCTTCAAGGAGGTCAGCTGTCCCACACACCTCGCACCCTAACCTTGGCTCAGGGTCCTGCGCCCCCCACCCCCCAAAGCACCTGTGAGATCTAGGGGACCGCGGCCTTGCTCCCTGCTCCCAGCCTGGGCCTGGAGGGCAGACCCCAGTGGGGGAGGGTGGGAGAAAGGATGCAGTGAGAAGAGACACCGGGAGGAAGGTGACGCCCCTGGGGGCAGGGAACGGGGGTGTCAGAGAGACCCCAAAGGCCTGACATGGATGGGTGACATCTGGACGTCTGTGAGCTGCAAAGCCCCTCCCCCGCCCCATCCACCGTGGCGCCTCAGCACCGGGAGGGGCCTGGTCTCCAGACTGAGGAGTGAAGTGGCCGGGTGGGGGAAGGGGGCTCTGGGCTTGCCACCGGCTGTCAGCGTCAGCAGGCTGTTCTAGAAGGCGAGCCTGGAGGTGCATGAAGGCATACGGCACCACTGAAGCTCTGCAGAAAGGGAGCCCTCAGCAATCTGCTCCCCCAGCTGTCAGCACGGCACTCCCCATGCGCCCCGCTTCACTCCAGACCTTCACTCCAGAAAGCCACTCTTGGTGCACACAACACTCCCATCCACCACGTGGGCTTGTTCTGGGAGCCCGCCACATCCGGCCTCGAGCCTGCTCTCCCAAGTGGGAGTGGCGACCCCTCCAGGGACCAGGCCCGGGAAGCTGAGTGTGTCAGGCAAGACACGGCGGGAAACACACACATCCTCCAATGCCAGGAGGGACCCGGGACCCAGCAGGCTTGGGCAGGATCCTGAAGGAGGAGCCAGAACACCGGGCAGGGACAGCGGGGTTGAGCTCAACCTACATGGAGACCCTGAATCCACCCAGCCTCCGAGAGGGGCTGTGCTGGAATCTGGGGGCCGGAGCACCCGGTCCTTCCCTGCAGATGCAGACAGGGGTGGGGGCCTAAGGGTGCAGCTGGAGCCCCAGGCTGCCAGGGCCAGACCCGGTTCCCAGTGCCATCTGCGCCCGTCTCGTCTGCGGCCTCGGGCAGGCCTCACCCTCCAGTCTTCATTTCCCTGGCTGTTCCCTGGGGGCTGGCCAGGAAGTTGCAGGGTGAGTGCCCCCAGACCCAGCCTCTGGGACCCCCCTCCTTCCGCCGCAGGAACTGAGGCACTGAACAGAAGGCCCAACCCAGTGGATTGCATCAGAAAAGATAACCGAGTCCGAGGTGATCTAACGGCCTTGGACAAACGGGGGACAGTGGCGGCCTCTGTCCAGTCATCACTTCAGGAAAACACCCAGGGACCGTGGCAGCAGCCCCATCCACCCCCACAGGGAGACACCCCCAGAGCATCGCAGGACCTGAGCACCTGCACCTTTCTGCCCTCCTAAAACGGGCTGGTGCACGGGCAGTGGTGGGATCACCAGCGTGTGGCAGCACCGTCCTTGGCCTTCAGGGTGCTCAACAAAGAGGGGAGGCCAGGAAGGTGGGCAGAGGCAAGACCGTGGGGCATTTCCAGAGCAGGGGTCTCCTTCTGGGCCCAGGAGACAAGAACTGTGGCCTCAGCAGAAGGGGGTCAGGAAGCAGTTTAGATGACCCTCTGGCTGGAAATGGGAGGGATAGGAGGCTGTCCCAACTCTCCAGGACTCCACAAGGCCTGGACGTAAGGAAGAGGAGGGTCCTGGAGCACCAGCATTTATGGGGGCAGAGGCAGAACAGCCTTAGGTGACCGCATGTGGCAGTCAGTGTGGGAAGAAGACCGGGCTGAGTCCCTGGGTCTCACTGCCGACCGCTGGGGCGGGGGGGGACCTGGCCTCCACCACTCCTCTTCTCTGCTCCAATCCTCTGTCCCGCTAGCAATAAGAATGGCCTTCAGAATTCCTCAGAATGACCATTCTGTGAAAACCCTCTCAGGACCACGCCTCCTCGGCCGGCCACAGCCGAGCTGGTGT